CCTTCCTTATGTTTATGTTAATTCCTGAGGTGGAGACAAGCAAAGTAGGAGCCAGCAACTGACATCCATTTGGGCTGAGGACATAGTATATCTGTAGAATATTAAGGCTTCTGAAGTGGATTTTTATTATATATACATTTTACATTCTCCTTTGTGTCCACTGAAGGTCAAAGGAAGTCTTTCACCTTCTAGTTATACTGCTGCCTATGGGTAGATTTTTGCCAGTGACAAGGGAACATACAGTAGATGTCTTTTCTTCAGCTCTGTTGTGTCAAAACCTTTTTTTATAGCACCATTTTTTCTTACTCTTCATAATTTATCAATAAAGACTTTTCTACACTCCTATTAGAGCTGGGATCTCTGATTGCAGCTATCCTGCAAGTTCAACCTCAGCATGGCTTTTGAACCCCACTGTACTGTACATTGCAATGATAATCTGGAATTGACCTTCAAGCACTGGGTGTCATGTAAGGTGCCTTTCAGGTCAATCTAGGTCCAGGGCCTGAGTGCTTGCCTAGTCTATGAAGACTCCCTTTTTCAATGTTCTAGTCAGACCAGGCATTAGGAGCTGGATGCCATTGAAATTCCCCTTTCCCCCCCCAGTTTCCACTGTGGTAGAGGTTGATGCTGTGGGAGGAAGTCCTATGCTATTTGCTGGGTAAAGTATTGCGTGCATGTGTGTTCTGCTTTCTTTTATGCCATACAGCTTTGAAGAAACATCTATCTCCCTGCTGCTGCTGCTTCTACTTTGCAAAGAAACAAAAGGAACTTCGCTCTTCGAGCCGTTCCTGTTGCCCACATGCAATGACTTTGTTCACCTTCAGCCAACTGACCCTCACCTGCCAAAACTGCATTTTATGAGTGCCTGAGGCCTTTCCTTTTTCTCTTTCTTATGTTGCCTTACTGCCCCACCATCTGATCCTACACATAGGGGTGACAGTCCCACCGTGCTGGGGGACCAGGGAAGGCAAAATATTAACAAGTTAAACCTTAGCTTGAAATATGAAGAATAGAACAACAAACACAGGATTTTATATGGAACTGATATAGAATTTGGTGATATGTTTGTGTAGCTTACTATCTTATACAATGTTTATCTTAGAAACTGTTGCAGCAAAATCTCCTTGTCATAATTCCTGGCTCTATTCTTGTCCAAGTTTTTGGTGTTCTCTCCCACCTCACCACATTCTAGCATCTCTGTTGACACTGTCCATATTATGAATAGATAAAAAATTCAAGTGTGCAGACCCAGGCACTCAGATTTCCAATAGTGTCCAAAAATAAATTGTCTGGTGCTACACTTCTCTAATATCTTCCTAAAGTTTTATATCGTTTTGTTGAACTGACCCTTTCAAACAACATGAGTTGCATAAAGGGCTCACAAAAATTTGTGTTGTTATTCATTCATATAGATCAGTGGTCTCCAAACTGCGGCCTGGCGGCCGGATGTGGCCCTTTGCTTGCTTCTGTTCATCCTTTGGAGCACTATTTCTCCCACTTATATGAGGAATTATGAGGAATTATTCCACCCACCGACACCAACAATTGGCCATAATTACTGCCACTGACATCAACGATAAAATGACACCAACAATAAGGCATAATTTTTGCCACTGACACCAATGATGGGGCATTTTCCATGCACTATTTCATTCATTGACACCAACGATGGAGTACTATTCCTCCCACTGACATCAACAATGGGGTATAATCCCTGCCACTGACACCATAGATGGGGCACTGTTCCTCCCACTGACTCCAATGATGGGGTATAATCCCTGCCACTGACACCAATGATGAGGCACTGTTCCTCCCACTGACACCAATGCTGGGGCACTATTCCTCCAACTAATACCAAAAATGGGGCATTGTTTACTGCCACTGACAACAGGACATTTTCTACTCCTGCTGGGCACAGTCCGGCCCCTCTAAAGCCTAAAGGACAGTAAACTGGCCCTATGTTTGGAAAGTTTAGTTACCCCTGATATAGATCATTAAAACATTTTTTTAATCCTGTGTTTATTGAAGATGTAAATAACTGTTTTGTTTTTTTTTTTTTAATGATGGGGTAGAATAAAGTCAGTGAACAGACATTTCTAAATACTATGATCCAGTCTTGCAAATGGTCACTTTTCGATGGTCATTTTTTTTACAGACATAACCCAGAGCACTTGAAATGGGGAATTATTTCTATTATGAATGGAGACAGATGTAAGTTTGGCCCAAAAGGTCCTCGTGAGCGCATGGCAGAGCAGCTGATAGTGGCAGCTGGACTAGGAGATTATGATACCATTTCTACAATTCTGAGACATGATCTGGCCCATGTGGATGTGTCCGACAAGTGTGGACTGACTGCTCTGCAGGCTGCAGCGGTATGTAAAGGAGTGCATTCACTTATGACCCCTGCTTGCATATCATCCTTAAAGTTTTACTAAATCCAGGACCCTGCAATCACTATATCTGGTCTCCCACAGTACACAGAACATGGAAATGCAATTATTTTAGTAAATATTAACTGCTAAATACCTTTTCTCATCAGCAGTTAGAGCAGTCTTGTGACTTCAGCAGAGCACTGGTTAAAGCTTGTAGAAAGCTTGTAGAAGAGTTTTCTTTCTGCTCTAGGAGGATGTGAAAGTCCTGACCATCTATCTGGACAGTGCTGATTGGCCCTGTGCTGATCCCACGCACTCTTCCAAGAAAAAAAAAAAAACCTCTAGCAATACTCACCAAACTGAGTATGTGCATGTGACTACAGATTCAGTCTGTATCAGCTGGTCATTTCAACAGGAGGAGGGGCAAAGAAGAAAGGACCAAATAGCCTTTTTACACAATGCAGAGGATTAACCCCTTAGGTTTCACAGTGAATATAACAAGCATGCTTTACTGCATATACAGACTGATTTTACTGTTGTGGCTTTAGTAACACTTTAAAGAAAAGGGATGTGTGCATTTTCTCATTGACTCTCAATTTCATGATACATTTTTAGAAAGTAGAAAAGGAATATTATAAAAAAAAATAAATAAATAACACATAGCAAGTAATACTGAAGCTGATTTATGCAGATCTGTGTATATTAACCTCTTTGCTCCAGCCGAACGCAAATGTGCGGCCTCCCGGCGTCTGGGCCTAAACGCTGAACGGCCGCACATTTGTGTTTTATTAAAAAAAACATATGTGCTGAGAGCGCGCACCCTGCACGCTCCCAGCACACACGTTTGGTACTCACAGAAAGGTGCCGATCTTCTCTTTCGATCTGGACCTTTCACGATCATGTGACCGCCGTAACAGCGAATCACAGTGGTCACATGACCCTAAAACCCCGCCCCGCCTCCCGACTTCTGGAACCCTTAAAGGGCCAGGAGGCGCTGACGCCAAGGGGTTAAAATGCTTGTGCTGCTCATAGCACCAAATAGATTTCAACAATTACTTTTCCAGAACAGAATAGATAAATATCATCTTTTGTTTGCTGCCTTTTTTTTGTCTGTTAAATATAGCATTGAAAGAGTTTGATTATATCTGTTTGATAAGTATGAAAAAATACTTGTTGACCCTTCCAAAACACAGTACTGTTCTCTGTACTGTGCACACTGCAATCTTATCTCAATCAATGTTATTAAAAAGTGTGTAAGCCTAGTAAGCATAGCTTGCAGGCACCTCTAGGTACACCCAAAACCTGGGCCACTCAAATCGACAAACGTTATCGCCATTTAGTAGTGTTGAATGTCCCTTCCCTCCTTTCATAAATTATCTATTGATACATTTCTAAATCTAGTGGCATCATTGGCCAATAGGTAGGGGTGTTAAGAGGTGTTAGGCTGTCCCTCAACACTCCAAGAAAATATTGAAGCTTATGGATTAGGGCATTCTATGTTTTTATGGGGTTCCTTTGGTGCTCTTGAAGTTTTCTGAAGGTAAAAGTAATTTCCATTAGTACATTTGTGGCCAATGTGTAAAAACCATGGTCCATTTTGCCTTAAAGAGCATCTAGTGTGAAATTTGACCCACTAGGGTATGATTTTGCTTCTGTAGTCAAGTTACTGTTCTCACCAGTGCTGGTGTTAATTTTTCATATATTCCAATGCATATTCCACCAGAGCATACACGATTTAGCATTTCTGCTTCCACATCCCTTTGTGCCTCAGTGCAGGGGTCTTCAAACTTTCTAAGCAAAGAGCCAGTTTACTGTCTCTCGGGCTTTAGAGGGGGCCAAACTGTGGCCAGTGGCATTAGAAAATGCCCCAGCATCAATGACCCATCATTGATTTTAATAGGGGGATTAGTGTCCCATTGTTGATATCAATGAATAGAATAGTAGAATAGTACCCATTGATTGTGTCAGTGGGGGGAATGGCACGTCATCATTGGTGTCAGTTGGTGAAATAGTGACCCAAGGGCCAGATAAATTTGGCCCCCGGGCTGCAGTTTGGAATCCACTGCTTTAGTGCTTACAGTAAGAAATTATAGAGAATTTGGTGACAACAGTCCTAAAAAGCCATGCTGAAGAACATTCCACAGTCATAGCTATTAAAAAATAACCCTTTCCGAGCTGAATTCCAGCAGAATTGAACATGGGACTGCTTCGTTCTCTTGTTTCTCTTGCTTGACCATGGGTTTGTTGTCAGGATGCATGTACTTGCCTACATGGACCGACATTGGTAGGAAACCATGACACGTTTCACAGTTTATCCTTTCGCTTTATGTGCGAAAGGCATCTGGGTTTTTTTTCTTCCATGTCTGTTCATCTGTGCAACTTTATGGTGAACTTAAGGTCAGGCGAGACAGGCAAGAGTATGAAGCAGTTTTATTTTACTGGAATTTTGTTGTATATGCCAGGCCCAGGCAATTCTTGAATCACAGGATATGTAAAGCTGGCTCCATTGCAACCGCAAAGTCTTTGTTTTCTGAGCCGAAAAATAAACTTTTTCCTTGCTGCAAATACCACCCCTGTGTCTTGTTGAGTATCCTTAATGTACATTGTGTATGTATGATTATGTATGCAGGGGCGTATTTACCACAAGGCAAACAAGGCATTTGCCTAGGGCGGCATTTTTCAGGAGGGCAACAGCAACTTTCAGGGGTGCAGCGCCGCTGCCCCCAAAAGAAAGGATGGCAGAAGAGGCACACACAGCATAGGGACCAGGTGGGATCTGAGAGAGGCTGCGGGCTGCTTGATGGTGTATGCAGAGCCTGACTCTTGTTCCCGGGGATGTCCAGAGCTATGAAGGTGAGTGTCTTCTCTCTCGCCGGGGTGGAGGGGTGGGTTGCCAGTGTATAGGGGGCAATGGTAGTGGAAGGCTCTCTCAGGTGGGGGGCAGGGGTGTTGTTGGTCAATGTCAGGCTCTCTTTGTGGGGGAGGGGGATGTTGGTCTGTGTCAGGGTCTCTCTGTGGGGGGGGCGATTTTTGTGTTGCCTAGGGCAGCACGAAACCTAAATACACCACTGAGTGTATGTATATATATAATATGAATTTAGACTGTGTATATGTTAAGAATTGCTCACTGGATATGAATAGATCTAGGTAAAAAAACCTTAAAAAAAATAAATAAATAAAGTGTGTTAGGACTACAGAAAGACACTCCCCCCCCCCCCCCCGCTATATTATGGCCTTGTAATCCCAACACACCTTCTGTCATAAGGTGACAGCACTAATTATGCATAGCTATAGTACAGTGACAGTCATCACCCTAGGACAAGGGGTGCATTACTGTCAGAATCACCAGATAAGAATACAGAATGAAAAAGCCTACAAAGATAAGACTAACTCAACTTGCACATCTAAAGCTGTCCATTCACGGATCAAAATTTGGTTCAGTAGGGACTGGCCAAATTTCTAACTGTCCCCGCAAAAATGCTTGTGCAGCTGATGCTGCTGTCAGAATACAGTGTCCTGGCAGAGGGGAGAGTTTCTTCCATCCACCTGATTTGTGTGGATGGAGAAATCTTTTAAACAGTGTATGGCCATGAACTGGTAAGATGCAAGGTATTACATTTTTGTTCTTGGGTTTACATACATTATCATGCTAATCTTATTGGTTTATGAAGGCAATTGCCTCATTTTCCTTTAGCCTGCTATTGTATAAATCTAGACCAATAGGTTTCATATGTAGGCTGGAGAAAACCAAAGGAACGTAGTCATGAACCTAACAACAAATCAGTATGCAGATGTTATTTTTCTTGTACATTGGTGATAGTAATTCTATAAAATAAAAATTAATTGTTTCCCTTATAAGTCAGTGAGACACATTTTCTCACCTTCATAAGAAAAATTACAGTTGGATCCTGACTGACTACTCACATAACAGACACAATGGAGGAGATGTACTGAAACTGATGGAGCTGTGCATAGTAACCAGTCAGCTTTTAACTTCAGCTTGTTCAATTAAGCTTTGACAATAAAACCTAGAAGGTGATTGGTTACTATGCACAACTTCACCAGTTTTAGTAAATCTCCCCAGTAAGTTTGTAGATGAGCAGACATGTAAAATGTGTTTTGTAAGCTATAGATGATCACATTTATATTGTATTTTTATGGCTGTATGCTGAATGTGTTTACCGGCATGTCATCCTGCAGGATATGTATGTTATTTTCCAGTACTGGCCAAATACCTGACTTTTCTTAAAAAGATAACATAGCTCAAATCCTCCAGCTGTATGCGTGATTTTACTTATAGATCTGTCCATCAAAAATCCAGAACCCTTCTGCTTACATCACCCAGAGTGACTCCTCTGGGAAAATGTCTAAGGGGGTCAGTGATTCTGTCTTCTCTGTTGATGAGACATGACTGTGTGATAGAGCCATGGCATATTTTCCCAGCAGGAAGAAAACAGAAAGCATTGTGTAGATCTGCTATCAGTAATTTGTGATCCTACAGCTATTAGATGCCAACATTTAATAATAGCTTCAAGGGATTGTTTTGCTGCTTCTTGTGAAATGACTGAAGAAAGGTCCAAAAATTGCTTGTATCTATCAAAGGGTTTACAACAGTTTAAGCTGGAGCCTTGACATGTCTCACACGTGAATACTTAAAGTAGAACTATAGGTAAAACTTTTTTTTTTCATGTTGGATAGTGCAAGGAAGGGTTATAACCCCTGCCAGATTTTTTGTCCCATTTTGAAGATTGGAGATTTCCCTTAACTTCCTCGCCCATAACCTAAACAGTAAGTGAGAGGACGTCCCTGAAAATTAGGGGAATCCCTTGGGGACTCATTGGTCAGTAGAACTATTGTCCCCTATTGGACTTTCTGGGGACAACCCAAAATTTGGGATTTTCTTTACTTTCACTTTCAAATATCATGGAAAACATGACAAATGGAGAGAGTAAATCTCTCTTTTGGGGGCACAGACAGCAATAAAAACTGACGGGTTCTAATCCTTCTCCAGTCTATCCAAAACTGAAAAACAGTTTTGCCTTTAGTTGTACTTTAATCATAAACCTTAATTACTCTCATATACTTAAACTGGTCATACATGGATTGAGATTTGGCCAGTTCAGCAGGGACCAGATGAATTTCGATCCGGTCGCTTTGGTTAAACAGAAGTCGATCTACCAAATGACTTATGTTAACCACCCTGTTAGTATAACAGGTTGCAGAACTAATCTGTGCATTCTGATTGCAGGGGAGTATACCCACTGTCAGAATACAATGGTACAGCGGGGAGGATCCCCATATCCACTTCAAACTTGATCCAGTACTAAAGAAATTTGCTACAAAGTGATTTACAATATTAAGTGCAGCCAACATTGCACTTTACACTCTGTGAAAGTGGGGCGATCTGTCACGATGTGGAAAGGTTATTTCACCCAGGATTCTCAACAAGGCAGGTTGAGGGGCTCTGTGGTACGTGTTTAATACAGAGGAAAGTGGATTCTCACTTTAATCATTTGTTTGTAAGGTCCATTTTGGGATCTGGAGCCTGGAGATTTCAAAGCGATTTGGGAGGGATGAAATCTCCAATCCTGGGACCAGGTTTTGGGAATGGCCAGGATACTGATTGCTCAGGTGTGCAGGGCAATCTTCTAAAGTCAGGACCAGGGTTCTGGGCTCCATCCTAGTAGACAGTAGTCAGGAGGGCTCCACCCTGGCAGACAGGAGGTCTCTGCCTTGGAGTCAGGAGGGCTTCACCAAGGAGAGGTGGAAGCCAAACTAGCTGTGTGCTAGTGGCCAGCTGTGTGCTAGTGGCCAGCTGTGTGCGAAAGCCATATTTTGGAAAGAGTCTGTAGGAGACAGACATAAAACTGTGTACAAGCCAGGAGGCTGAATTTTCATTTGCATGTGTTTGATGGTGGATACCCCTGCGTGGGAAGCTTTATGGAACATTTTCTTTAAATAAAAGTGGGCTAAAAAGGCCTTAAAAAAGAAAGCGAGTTGCTGTGTGCGTTTAACAAAGCTCTACCATTTGAAGCGAGTTCCCACAACTCAGAAAAAGAAACCTCATCTAAAGGATTTCTATGTTTACTATTTGTACATGTGTTTGTGGCATGCCACGCTAAACAACACTGAGGAATCTCAGCTGCTAGCAATTGTACTCAGATAGCCGCAGCAGCCATTACTGTCAGAATACCCGTTTGGTTGATAATCGTTTTTTTAGTCGAAGTTTGTCAAACCGAGTTGTGGCAATTCACAACTTAAATTTTACCTGATTCAGGAGGAATTGCCAGATTTGCTAAAAGACCTTTCCAAACCCTTACTTTTGTTTCTCAAAGTGAGCAAGTATATCCCTCCCATGTTTTAATGAATGGGCACAAGGTATTAAGAAGAGAAGGAAATCACATGACTTTTAAAGGCCTTGTGACTGGGTTCTCCTGAGTTCCTTTTTGTATAATTCAAAAAATGTTCTACAACACTGCAGGCTCTGCATTTAATGAGTGAAATGTGAAAAGCTGGTGCAACGTGCGGAGTATTTACTGTGGTATCCTGCAGATAACCGTATTTGTTCTCCATTAAAAATAGGCTGCAGAGTAGAGAAAGCATGTGATGAGGGTGATAGGCAGGAAAGTAGCACCTTGTAAAAGAATTAGGTAATCACAGCACCCTTATTTCTATTATGACAAATCACCTTAAGGAAATCTGAAGATCAATCTTCTTTTGTCATAATATTCCATCACTGCATGAGCTTTTCTCGCTGTCTATCTTGGAAGCAATGGAAGCATTGTACATATACATTCAGATTATAAATGTCCCTTTCGTTCACCCAGAGGGACTATAACTCATTTCTGACAAGTAATATATGGTGATACACTGTAATATATTATAATAACAAATTCTGTTTCAGGTAAATGGCCATAATAACATCATTAACCTTCTGCTTGACAGTGGAGCGGATGTTAATAAGAGCAATGATGAAGGATTATCAGCTTTGTCCTTGTGCCTGATGCTTTTTTACAGCTCCAAACCATTTTGGCCAAATGTGGCTGAGAGAGGAACTTCCCTCTGAGCAAGGTAGGTATTAATCCACATATTCTTACCCATACCCCCATTTATACTTTAACTAGGGGCTATGTCACTAACAGCCCTGGGGCACAACTGCAAAGAAGATTCAGAAAATAATAAAGCAATAATAAAATAATAAAGCAGGACATTACCGCAAACTGGGTGGGGACCTCTGTAATGTACAACTGGACACAGCATAATTTCACATTATTTTAGACTTATCTATCAGTCAAATGTTCTCCAGCACTGGAAGGTCCATGCTCCCCATTGTTTATTGCCCATGTCATCATTCTCCTCTGCCTCTTCTTCTGGGTTCCGTGTCCTTAAAGCATTGTTAAACTCAAAACCAAAAATGTAATATATTGATGTATTGCATCTTATCAATCCTTAGATGTGGTGGCTGCATTTTTTCTCTTTTTTTTAGGCTTTTTTTTCTCCCCTGTTTTCACCCTGTGATCTGGCCAGAAACACACCTCCTGTATTAGAGTGCCTCCGCTCTGAATGAAGGAGCATAGGTACCCAAAATGAAAAACATACCCTCAACAACCGTAGCTAACAGTAGAATTTAAACTTAGAGTTACACCCCCCCCCCCACAAAATTTTAGGGAATTTACCTGTCCAGGCATCCAGCGGTGTCCTCACCCAAGTCGAATCTTCAGTCGGCTATTGGGTGCTGGTGCTGCCATCTCGACTAAGGGAAATCGGCAGTGAAGCCTTGCGGCTTCACAGCTGGTCTCGTAACGCGCTGTGCTTTGTGAATGGACTGCAGTTTTCTGGGACCTGTGAAGTGTGGAGGGGGAAGGGGGGTGGGGGCAAACTTCTAGGTCAGTTTGCCGTGGCAAATTGAGCTGGAAGTGGGAGCGGGTACCTGCCAAAACCAGGTACCCA